ACAGCCTTCCTCATCACAAAAGACACTTCTGTTGCATCTTTGTCGACCCTATGACGCACTTCTATGCAGTAATTCTTATTGCAAGAACCAGGTAGGCCTATTTGAGATATGTTGAAAGCTACTAAAAAGTCATGTACGTGCAGTAACAACCGCAGAAGCTAGCGTGCTTCACTTTTTTGCCAAGTTTTTGTCAAAAAGACTGTTTCAGTCAAACCAGGATTTTGGCACAATTGGTATGTTTTCCATACACTTTTCATTCACCCTTTAAAACTTGGTACAGATATTCCTCGAGTAATGCACGCAATATTTAATAGGTATCAAGTAGTAGCATTAGCGGTATCTATATCAGTAATGAGATAATTAGCTTTAAAGCAAAACAGTAGCAGCATGTATATAGCAGTGGCGGTAGTGGTATACAGTATGCGGTAGCGTTAATTAGCGATAGCATTTTGCGGCAGCGTCAGCGTTACCTTAGCCGATGGACATGTAATATGATCCCTAAACCAAAGATTCTTACTATTCTGGCGAATCTTTAAGGCCGCATCTTTGATCAAAGTGAGCAGGATCCTGCCCGTTTCTGAATACGACCGAAGTTTTCCGAATACGTTTTCGTTGACACCAGTGTTGTAGTCGAGTAATTTTTTCCAAGTACCAAGTACTGCCGAGTACTTAGATTAGCGAAGAAGCATGTATTTCGGGCACTTTGATTCCTCAGACAAAAACAAGCGAACAAAAAATATACAACAAGCATTCAAAATGGCTGAGAAAGGATTAGCGTGGCGGCGTCGCGTGCGTACACTTACATGCATGTATTGGTAACGTGTAATATGTAATCTGCTTCCCTGACATGACAATTCCTATAGGCCTGCCTTTATATATCTGTGGGCCTGACGCGTCGCTTATGAATTCTCTCCTTGTTTGGAATTGTTTGGTCAGGGAACCAGACAGTTTATCCTTGCTCCAATCACCAAGTTAATAAAACGACCATTTGTAGGAACACCTTGTACATGATTGGCCAGTGTGCGCACATACGGCAAATGGGTCATTGTGCGTAATTGGCCCACTCACGGTTGTTGTTTTCAATATCTTAAAATGTTGTCAAATTGGGGTGAACTTTACTATAAATGTCTTACAACCTTACCATGTGTGGATAGCGCGTTTTGTATGACACCTTCATAATTATACTGTACATACCTTGTTTTGGATAGAAATTAAATCAATGATGGATCTAGGCCAGGTTCTTGATTTATCTAACAATATTGTTCAATTGAGGTAAACCTACGAATGTCTTACAAATTTATCATTTGTTAGTACGTGCTTGGTGCATGGCACGAATACTGTGCATACCTTGTTTGAACAATTTAAATCAATGATTGATCCAGGTTCTTTACTTCACTGAAGAAAACAATATGCAGCAACATGTGGTAATGTAGTCGTGAAACAAATTTTAATATATATCAAATGAAACTAAGTTTCAATTTAAGAGTAAAAGTCCTTGTTTTCGAGGATGAAAAATGTTGGATCATCAATGATTGTTGCACATTAACTTTAAGAATAGCTTTAATATGAAACATTTAGTTAACACACTGAATACATGTCAATTCAAAATATACAGTCGAACCCTGATAGGAAGAGCACTGTCAATGCAACATCCTGCTGTATAACAAGGACATTGTTAGGTCAAAGACTTTGTTTTTCTTTGTTTTCCTTTACTGATAATACAAGGTGCCTGTCAAAACAAGGTAATTTGTAAAGTCCTAAGCACTTTGTTATAAAGGTGTTCGACTGTATATTTAATAAATCGATAATTTGCATAGGACAAAATACATTATCAGAATTGATTTCACTGATTCGAACAATACTAGCTCTAAATTCAACAGAACACGGTTAATTGGTGAACATAACGAATGATGTTTATTTCCTCAGCCAAATGTGGTGGTGTATGGAATTGTGCTTATACAAAGCAATATGAAGAATCAATCAATGTTCAGTTGAAACCGGTCTGGTATCTTTGTTTCAAAATGTTGGCTATATTTCAGTCTTTAGGAAGGTCTGCATAATGTGCAAGTATGTTCCGCCCTCATCATGAGCTTAGCTCTGCTCCTCCGAATAGTGTACTTCAAACATAAGGCTGACGAATTTGTGTCTCAAAGCAACTGAGCAACGCCCTTCTCGAGCACCGTGACGTACGTCAGCCAAATAAGCAGAAGAAATGCACTGGAGTGTTTTTGCAAACATATAGTATTGTGGTGGTGATCTCCCCTAGCCAAACCTAAGTTCGTTGGGACCAAGTCTGACACCTACTAGAGTGTAGCTGATCTTCCCGAACCCCAAGCTTTCCCAAGATGAGAGACCACTCAGAGCAACCTCAAGGCTTAGGGAGCAGGTCTGTTTTGGAGGGATTATACCGCCGAATATGATGATGATTACTCCCTTAATTGCACAACAAACCAGCAAGAAATACACCTTGACAGCATGATTGTTGGCACAACAAATATTATCGTAATTTATCATACAATAATCAAGAAATATACACTAATAATTGGGACCTGAATTGGGCTGTTCTATTACCAGGGTCACTGAATTATAGTTGCTGGGAGACAACCCACTGCTCACATACGCAGCAAATGAAGCGCACAGCATCAACAATGTAACAAGAAATGCGCTACTAACACCGCGTTCCCACTTGAATTGGAAAAAGGTGGATCAAGATCCACCTTTTTGGTGTGATCGTTATCTTACCGCAACGAAACCGCAAGTCGCGTTCCCACTTACGCTTGATCCACCTTTTCGTACGGAAATGTTGGGTCCGAAAGGTCACTGAGTTCGGAATTACGCGCGCTCTGTGGGAGTGCCATTGTTGCATGGTTGCATGCTAGGCCAGGATGGGTCAGTTTTCAAACAGCACTATCAGAATTCACCGACAAAAATTACGCGAATTCACCAACATAAATCACGGATCTGTAGAGGATCCGTGCGTGCATAAATTAACAGGTGAAATCCAACAGAGCCGCTCGTTGTGTGACATCACGGCAGAAACCAATGCATCGATAAGGGATTCCCTGGTTCTGAAGCTTCTCATTGGTTAGAAACGGTCACATGATGTACTACGACATCATTTTCCAATTTTCTATAGTCAATACTTCAGATTTGTCACCTCCGTACGTACCGCGTTATCGGCACTATTCTCATCGCATACTCGTAAGCTTTTCCATGATTCTGTGCCAAAGTGAAGTCTTTCAGTGGTGAGTGCGGACTCAGAGTCATTTATGGATGGAAAAATAAGTACAATTTCAGGAATGAAAAAGGTTTAGTAATGGACGAACACGTAACAAAAGTAAGGCCTATAGTGTAGTTTTAGGATACCACGTGCGCTTTTGCATGCGCGGTGCTAGCCCGTAGTTCAGCGGTTGTTTATTGTGCATGTTGTATACGCTGGAAATGTTCACATGAGCTACACGCCTGAAAACGTGTTTCTTCGTTCATGAGACCGCAACATTTTCGCGCCACTCGTGCACCGGGCGGATGTTAACAGGTCAAATTGCCGGATCAGATCCACCTTTTGCGTTCCGATCGTGATCCGGCAATTGCCGGATCTGATCCACCAATTGGGGGATCTCTATCCTGGTCCAGAGGTGGATCAGAAAAGGTGGATCTGATCCTGATCCACCTTATAACGGTTAGCGTTCCCACTACACACAATTGCCGGATCTGATCCACCAATTGGGGGATCTGATCCGGCAATTTGGCAAAAGGTGGATCAGATCCCCCAATTGGTGGATCAAGTGGGAACGGGGTCAAGTCAGCAATAAGCAACATTGTAAACAATGCACAACAATGTAAGCAGTATACCACAATGTAAGTAATGTACACCAGTGTAAACAATACCGCCAGTGTAAGTAATGTACGCCAATGTAAGCAATACACGCCAATGTAAGTAAAGTACGTCAATGTAAACAACACACGCCAATGTAAGTAATGTACACCAGTGTAAACAGTACACGCCAGCGCAAGTAATGTACACCACGCAAGCATACAACCCGTTTAGCTAGCCTTGTACTTGATTACGCTTTACCCATGTAAGCTAGCATATCGTACAGTCATTGATCTCCATTAGTAATGGAGATCAATGTGTACAGAACATTCACTTGTACGGCTGCGCGCATCAGCATTACACAGTGTAACTTAAGCACAATTAGGTACGTGCATGTTATACTGAGCGCTAAGCTCCGCCCAGTCACGCACGCGCTACATGTACAGTTCATTACATACGATCACGCTGCATTAGCGCTAGACTTGTTATAGTCCCTACACTTTCCGTTACAATATGTTTATGCACTGTAACGGCTGTTTCTCCCCCCCCCCCACCCCAACAAAAAAGTGCATTGTCTTTCCACTTGATCATACTGAGAACACTTTTGTTTAAAATTTTTCTTTTTACATACATTTTGTTAGTGACCTTAGAGGATTGATATGAACAGAAACGGACCAAACTGAAGTCCCTAAGATCCTTGTGTCATACGATTACTGGAATTAAGGGCACATATGGAACAAATCTTGTATTTGTTTCACGATTCGTTTCACGGAAATGTATTCTAATAATATCAAACATCAACGCTGGTCGGCCGACCAGCGTTGGAAAACACTGGCTTTTTTCAAATACTGGCCCCAATTGACCATCGCACTTGTTTGCAATCGATTACACACCTATGAACGGGTACAAGCCAGCTAGACTGGTTCCCTGACCTTACAATTCCCCAATGTATGTAAACTGCTCTGTTTCTTCGTATATGGAGTCAGGGAACTAGACTAAAGGAAAATGATTGTTTTTCTTGGTTTTTATAGCATTTTCGAACCCAAAACCTCAAAAAAGTCAGTGTAACTATATTTGCTATATATTTCCAACCCCCCAATTCCATCTATTTCTGAAAATTACAGCAAAAGCAAATGATGTATATTCCCTTTAACCTCCATTTTTTTTTTTTAGTTCAGAGATAAGTATTCGGGTAGAATTCTATGCAGCAAATATACTCCAGATTTGTATTACATTTTGCAAGTTACCCGTGTTTTATTCAACATTCCAGCATTGCAGACGGAACAATTCGGCATAATAACTGAGCAATATGGAAATAACAAATTCCTGATGATAATTTGTTGGTTAAAAATGTTACCAAACAAGTGAAGTAACACTATTTGTAATTCAAAATTCCTTTAATATATACATTTCGTGCAATAAATGCACATTAGTAAAGATGATCAAACTGAAAGGTGTCTATCATCTTTAGCCAAATACCAATATTATTTTGTTCAGTATTAAATTAATTTAATGCAATGCAATATTAATACACCATTTGCAGCTATATCCAGAAAGTAACTGACGAAATGTATTCCCTCAGCAAAAACAAATACAACATTTACTTGGGGCTTCATGTTAACTCCTCCTGTGCGTCTCTTTCAAAACATCGATAATACCTGAGAATGAGAAGAGGAAACATCGGAAGGAATTGCAAGGAGCCTATGAAAACAAACGCTGTGGTGTAACTGCCTGTGGTGTCGAACAGCAAACCTGAAATGTGCACAAAACACACAGGTGAGATGACAACAGAATGTTGAAATACACTTCGATAAGCAAATTACCTTGTACGTTCTTATGGTTGCACAGCAGTAAATAGGCCTAAAATTATCTACGCCGACCATATCACCATTGGTGCCTTCAGTTTTCTTTCTTAATACAGAGTTGTGTGGCCCTTGCACTTGAGGGTTTGTGAGGGGGGCAGGCCCAAGGTCTGACCCGAGCTTGGAACTACGATTTCCGGGGCAATTTGGATGATGAACCGGAAGGTCGCTTTATTTTGTTATAGAGTGGATGGATCATTTTTATAATGGAGTTGGACAGCAGGAATGCCTTTTAGGGGTTGTCATCTTAAGAGGGGAAAAACTGACCCCAAAGTCACTTATTAACCCCGCAAAAATCGAACTGAAAGTGAAAGAAGGTTAATCAAGCTTTGATTTGATGAATGCCTTGAACACTTTTAGCTGTGAGTGTTTTTCTCGATAATTTTTTTGAAGGAAGTTTATTATTGGTGTCTATGGAAATTTGTTTACTGGTCTGTGCTCCAATGGTCTCCTAATTTTACTCTAATCGCTAGAATGCAGGAGGAAGCATTGTACATTTCAAACAAAGTCGGGGGCATGCCCCGAATCCCTGGCAGGGAGGCACGCCTTAGAGTCAACCCAAATGTACATCACACCACCACCTCACCCGTTTCCTGAAAGGTAGATCCGCCCCTTCATTCGAACGGCCAAAATAGACAAGTGCAGAGAGGGCTGACTGGGAAACTTGGTCGAGATTAAACTGAAAGAAGAATATTTCAATGAATTTACTGAGGAGGGAGAGTAATAGAAGACTGGAAAGGAAAAAGCAAAGATGCATGGGGATTTCTACAGACGAAGAGAAAGTTTACGAAAATTCGACAAAAATGCAACGGCGAATCGAACACCCATGCAAAATTTAATAAGAAACAGCATAGCTTACCAGGTAAAAAGCCAAGAGAGAATTCCAAGATGGCCGCAGTAAAATATATCCAACCAAAAGTTCCGACTAGTAAATCCACACCGAGTACCTGCTTACTGAGAACGTCGTGAAGACAGCTGAGGGCGCCAGAGCTTGTCAAGATCAGGAGTGATGACGTCATCATTGGCCAATATGACGTCAGCCAGGGAGTTGCGCAGTGCGACACCGAACAAACCGCTACAGCGGTGGCCGTCAGATGGAAACTGGATATCACTCCGCGGTCAAGAAAGAATCCCTGAACCAGTTTTGCTATTAAACCTCCAACGCCTCCAACTGTTACAAATGTTGCCGCCTCTTGTAAGGAAAATCCATTTGACTTCGCTTGTGAAACGAAGTAAATGTGCCACATGTGGAAAGCAAACTTTGAGCAGCAGGCTATGATGGCCACCGACCAGTAACGGAAATCAGAGAGAAGTCGAATATCGAAGATCTCGAACAGGTTCTTATAAAATGAGGTACAGCGAGAGGGAAGTTGACTTGGATGTTTTGATATTCCATCGTCTGCTGGAAGCTTTTGGTATCTGCTTGCTGAAGGTGCTCCTGCTCGCTGCATGAGGGCGCCACACACCAAAAGATGCATAGAGATGGCACCCACCAGTAGCATGGCTCCTCTCCATCCATACGTGTCGATGAATACCTGGACGATGGGTGCACACACAAACAGCCCGATGGAATCACCTGTGCGTGCAATGCCAGTGGCCGTGGCGTAGTTCGTGGTGAAGCGGCGGGCGATGGCCTCTTTTATAAGCACACCAGAAATCCCGAACCCCGTACCTGATGTGCGGAGAGAAACAATTGCTATAAATAGACGACCATGATCATGCGCTCAGCTTAATTCGCAAGTAGCCTAATTTACAGTTAAGTTTTAACAGTTTAATTTTGATAAATATCCTTTCACATTGTAATTCTTAAGTTCTCTTTTGCCTCAGCAGAAGCCGTACAGCTAAATAAAATTCATTGTCATTCATTTTCATTGTCAGTGGCGTAGCAAGGTCACTTTTATTGGGGGCTAGATGTGAAAGCGGCAACTTTCTATGGGCTTGCTGTTCAAACCGGACGACCCTGGGCAATATCGGACAATGTGTGGCACTTTTCATGGCGGCACAACTGCCGAAGTTCGCGCGACACTTTAAAAAGTGCGCTCGTGAAAAACGGGCACTCGTGAAAAAAGGGAACTAGTGAAAAAAGGGGAACTCGTGAAAAAGGGGCACTCTTTACAAATTATTTGGGGATAAATACCCCGGCCCATTGCCACCCCCCCCCCCGCCCCCTTCGCCCCGCTGGCTACCCCACCGCGGTTGTGATCATGCGCTCTGCTTAATTCACAAGTAGCCAAGCAACAACGGCAAGCACTCTCGTCCCCATGAGTATAAGATTACCATTCTTCCTCATCGCCCTATCTAAGATCAGTGGCAATTTGAAAGATCTCAGTGGAAGGATTTTGTTTTCAGATGAACAGGGTTCGACACCTCCATTTGCGCATTAGAGGTCAAATTACGTTTTCCCCTTTGGGACGGTTAGGTTTTAGGATGATTGAAGGGTACACTGTAAACTCATACTTTTGAACGCATTATTAACGTTAAAACAATTTAACCTATAGGCAAAAGTTATCGGTTATGATTTGAGTCAATTTCAATATGTAGATATTAGTAGCACAAACAAAGCCTCAAACAGCCGAATTTTAATTCGGACCCTGCTTGTATTCACTGAAATTTGACTCTCTGGAAATTTGGAAAACCAGTTTTAAACGTTCTGTTTTAACGCCTAGTGAACGGCGCTGATCAGGAAGGAAGCGTTTATTTACTTCGTTAAACAAGACGTTCATCAGCAACGTTCACGAGGCGTATTAAGGGCATGTCATTTGCTTACCCGTGAGTAGAATGAACACGCAAGCTAGGTGAACAGGCGAGGTGGCAAAAGACGCCATGATGACCGAAACACCAATCATTGTACCACACGTCATGATGACGTAGCCGGGACCAAACCATCTACCCATCAGCCTCGAGGTGATTGCTGCAGAGATGACGATTGGTTTGGGAAGGGTTGGTCTTTGCATGGGGGTTGGAATCGTTATTAAAGGGCCGATGACATGGATATTTTTTCATGGGAACATATTAAATGCAACTTTCTGCTCCGGTTCAAGTTCCAATGGGAAATACATGGGAGATTTCTGTATTAAAGGGTTAACTTACCAAATAATCCAGTGGTGGTGCCTATGGTAGACGTTATCCAGCCCAAGATCCCCGTGGTGGTATTAAACTGGTCTTGTAACAAGGGAAGCATCATGCCAATGGTTTTAAAGACTGCAGACCAGATGAAAAGCCTGGTCCACATAGCCAGCACAGCAAACCACCCAGCACGCCCATCAGATCCACATGCTGAGCTAGCCATGGCGCGGCTAATATTGCACTTTATGTACCATGAAATAGAAATATATTAACAAAGTCGGATACAGGGTTTTATTAACATGGGTTGGCAGAGGTGTTTAAATTCAGGATAGCTTTAGGCCCCATCTTATATAGGTCAGGTCACGGTGTGTCACAAGGTATTCTTTTATACCACGGTATAAAATGCCCATGCATGTTCACTCATCCCTATCGATCAACGCCGTACAAAGCCTTTACTCACTAACTCCTCTTAAGGCCCCCCCAAAAAAGTCTCCGGTTTCTGGTATGGAGCTTGCCCAAAAAGTGGTGCGGCGACGCGGCTTTTTTTTTTTTTACCTGATTTTTTTGCTTCAAATGTCGGCTGATGACTGCAAATGGTGCCCGACTAAACTTGGTGCAAATGTATGGGAGTAAAGAGAGGCCACATAAAGCTTATTCTCGACCATAATCCAATCTAAAAACACGTTAAAATTGTGCAGCAGCAGAATTCCAGTCAAACCAGTGAGTTTGGCGGTTTTGAGACATCATCTTTTATTGAAAAAAAATCTTTTTCATTTTGCCGACGCGCATTGCTACGGCGACGCGCGCGCATACCAGAAACCGGAGACTTTTTTTTTTGGCCTAAAGCACTATTAAGTGAGCGGGATAAAAGTAAAACTAGAGAAAGACACTATTTGACGTTTGAAACAAGATATATGCGACGGATCTCCGCCTTTTGTGTTGGTCGTTGTGCTCCCTGGATCTCAGGAATTCTTTTGATAGCTGCGTGTATAGGTATAACAATGAGTATTATGATCTGGGGGTCCGGGTGTACATGACCTTTACTCCTACGCATCAACCCGTGCACGGTATAGTCCTAGATCACAGCTTTAATACGTGTAATGGTACCATTAAGGAGACATATGTTATCAGAATTTCTTCGCATGATGGGAGACATCGGTCATTAGGGAAACAATTTCATGTCTCCCTAATGTCACAGCCCCCCTTTAGAGGCGAAATTTTACCATTGCAATTAGATTATATTTGTTGCTCGTGGTCTAATTAGTAAACATACCGAAATTCGTGCAAAAAAGGACAAGGGAATATTGGGTTAGGGCACATTTAAGTTTGAAAAATGTTGTGCACAAGTCTATGGGCATGTCTCCCAATGGCAATCCAGGGTAATTATAAATATTATAATTGTTCTTATATAGCGCTTTCCATCGTATCAACAATCTCAAAGCGCTTTACAATTAACCCTAAAAGAGCCGGTCGGAATCCGCCCCCGCCCGCAAATTTTCTTTTCCCAAACTACATCCACATACATGGTTGTTTAGCGCCCTCTGCTATACTTTTATGATACGTACATTGTACGCAGATATATAATTATTTTTCCCCGCGTTTTTGGCGAGCAGTGCGATAGCTCAGTCGATGCGGTCGTGCTTGTGCACCGTGAGGTTGCGGGTTCGAAGCACCTTTTTGTCCCCGATTTTTTTTTCTTTTCTTACCTGAGGCTTTCGGAGGATTTTTTTAAGGGAAATAAAGTCCGAATTTCATTACGTTTGAATTCGTTTCTTTTTTTCTAAATTTATATTTTCTTGTCATGTTTTTAGAAAAGTACAGTCCAAAACGCCATACCTTACAACCATGTCACTTGGGAGAACGAAATATCGCCCCACGCCCCCTCAACTTTTTCTGCGATTCCCCGGAAAAAAAAAATTGCCTGGAATCTTGCGCATCTTTTGAAAAACAAAAAAAATCCGACCATTTGGACTGCGCAGTGAAAAAAAATTCGGCGCGCCGCGCCGTGAAAACTCAATTTCCCCATAATGTAGTGTACACAAAGCAGAATTACCATTGGTGCATGTGAATAATTAATGAGCAATAATTCCAAAACCCTTTAACCTATAGTCACGAAATCTCTTGGGTATGTTTATGTTGAGTTTGTTATATGCGTGCAACGACTAGTTTCATAGTCGAGATTCATGTAGGCCTATAAGTAAAAAAAAAAGTCTTGAGAAAAAGTGTCGCAATAGGTTTGTATGGGTGGGCACTATGTACACCTAGTCTATACATGTACCAAGGTCTCATTTATGGAATATCCCCTTGCACAGCAAGGGTCTATATGCGAGCATGCAGATTCGGTGATTAATTCTGCAAAACAAGACTGCATCTTCACATCCCGATTTTGACCATTCAGCGGGACTCGGTGTTTCCGTAACCCGTTGTTGTATTCAAAATTGACAAATCAACAGCTTAGTCCATGATTCTGATCGATATGACGTTTGAGTATCTACATGTGCATGCTATAAGATAACGTTCGCATACCCTGGCTCATATCTGCACAAGTGACGTGATGCCTGATCCTTGGATTATGTAAGGTATTTAGCCATTTGAGAAGCGCAGCTTTTCCAACTGAAATTTCTTGTCATAAGTCTGGAGGTCGATTTTGAACAGCTTCCAAAAGGACCCAATCTTTGCTTTGCGGAAATTAGGCCATGGGGAATTCTGGTGGACCCAGTGGGTATAATGGCCTGACTTTACTTTGCACGCTTGTTTTTGTACACTGAAGTTTATCAATCTAGATATTTTGTGAAACTGTTAGATAGTACATTGTATATACTGTGGCAAGTTGGCTGCGCATCAGACTGGGACCTTGTGTGCTGAAAAACATGAAAAACAAAATCAGGCCAGCTTTACTCACTCTATTTCACCATCCAAGTTTGAAGTCTAAATTCGATTTTCAAAGGAGACTTTCCTTAAATACATTTTGCACCTGAGAGGGAAGTCAAGTTGAGGCCAAAGACTAGATTGGTACATGTCAAACCATGGTCCAACTGTTTGAAAAGACTGACCTCTTCATTGGTGTGGTGGTTGATTAGGCCAAAAAAAAGGTCTCCGGTTTCTGGTATGGAGCTTGCCCAAAAAGTGGTGCGGCGACGCGGCTTTTTTTACCTGTTTTTTTGCTTCAAATGTCGGCTGATGACTGCAAATGGTGCCCTACTACACTTAGTGCAAATATATGGGAGTCCAGAGAGGCCACATAAAGCTTATTCTCGAACATAACCCCATCTAAAAACACGTTAAAATTGTGCAGCAGCAGAATTCCAGTCAAACCAGTGAGTTTGGCGGTTTTGAGACATCATCTTTCATTGAAAAAAAAAACCTTTTTCATTTTGCCGACGCGCCTGGCTACGGCGACGCGCGCGCATACCAGAAACCGGAGACTTTTTTGGCCGTACGGAGAAATATGTAGAAATAGAGATCAGTACCAGACATGCTAGATGTTTCTTTTGGCACAGTTGATGGATGCAGTGCCGAAGGGTTGTTTGACTGGTTGTTTCAGATGCCGGTCTATTTTCTTGTATTGCATGTTTTCAATACCTTACGTTTTGGGACTCACATACACAGTATTGAGAGTCCCAAATTTTCGGAATAGCTGGTTCTGGTTGTATACTGTGCAAACACCTCTTAAGTTTTATCTCGCACAGGTCGGAGTGGTTGGCGCAGTGAACTAAATTTTAAAGTGGGCCTTATTAACTAAGCTGAGGAGATCTAGGTGCTCAATTCCCTCTTTGAAAGCTTTGACATTGGGAGCATATCGAATGTTTGGTGGTAGCAGGTTCCATTCCTTTGTGGTTCTTGGGTAGAGTGAATATTGATAGCACAGTTTGTTGAAGTTTGGCGGGAGGATGATATGAGGACCGAGGTTCTGTCTTGTTGCATGATTGTTGTTACTCTGGCTTGACGGCAGGTTTGATGGTATGATATTGTGGACTTCCTTGTAGATTGTTGTCAGTCGTAGTCGGATTGTGCGGAGTTCGAGGGTGTCCCATTTGAGAGAAGACAGCATGCTGTTAACGCTGGATCTCCGCTTGTAATCATTACATACGAAGCGGGCTGCTCGCCGTTGTACTTTCTCAAGGCTGATCTTATTGTTGTTGTTTAAGGGGTCCCATACGGCTCCACAATAATTCAGTTTGGGTCTTACTAATGACTTGTATGCGTTCTCTTTGACGGATTTAC